GATCGCCGTCTGAATGAAACTATGTCACTAGAGGCGAGATTGTCGGAGGAGCTGGAGCAGGCCAGAGCTGAGAATGAACGTTGGTCTTCGAGCGACAGAAGGCTGACAACCGCGTTTCTCGCCTGTCTTCGGAGGTAGAGACTCTGAAGCAGGTCATAGCCAAGGCGCGGGCCTCATTGGCTATTCAAGAGAAGGCTCGTGAGCAGGCGGTCAAAGAGTTGGAGAACATTGAATCTCGCCAGCAGCTGACTGCCAATTCAGTGGAGGAAAAGGAGCGAGCCCATAAGGAAGCCAAAGAGACCGTTCAAGACTTGGCCTCGCGTACGGATGAAGATCTTCGCCGAGAGATTCTAAGGAGGCTTGAACTTCGCCATGCCGAAGAACTTCGTGAGGCGGAGCTGCGGTTAAAATCTCTGTAATTTGCTTTTAATTTTCCGTTTGTAATAGGACTTCCCTTTCACGAATGAAATTATCCCTTTTGTTTCTGGCCTATTGTCATTTGTGTGCGTGTGCCATTTTCGTAACCATGCATTGGTCAGAATCTGGCCGCAAGAGGACCTCAACTGCAGCGGGATTATCATCGATCGATTTGTGCTGTAGGTTTATTTCGTTGCAGGCGAATTCGGCCCGCAGGCGGATTTGCAAATGCTAATGGCGATTCTGACTCTGATCGGGTTACGCTTTTAGCGGGCCACGTGTTAATCCACGTGTACGCCGGTTAAGGAGACGTGGGATAGCCGCCTCGCATTAAATGCGAGGTAGTGGGCCTCTTCGTTCCCCACGTCCGATTTGAGCCGTTTGTTGAAGATCGTGCTCAAGGAACTGCCAGATCTCTTCCGTCCAGATCCGATCCGTTCGGTCTTGCTCTCTAGCTGCTTTAATCCTGAACGGTCTAATCAAGTACTGAGTAACCGCCTAGGACTCTTAGGGTATTTAACACCCTAACTCTTCCTCGAGAGGGCCTATCGTCCTCCTCAGAGTAAACCCGAACTTCTTCTTCCTCATACTCCCAATGGCGCCGAAGGTGAAGAGAGTCGTTTCCAAGAAAAGGAAAGAGCCTGGTTCTTCAGGTGCTGCCGAAGCCGTCGCGGCTGAAGGTATGTTCTTGCTTCGACTTTCGTGTGAGTTTAGTAGGTGTTCCTCCCCCAATTGTTCCCTGTATTGCTTGTTGCGTCTTACAGGTCGAGAGGAGGTGCCGGCTGCCGAGGAGCATGCGGCCGAGCCTATCCTGATTTCAGACGATGAATCTGAAGGCCGTGCGAATTCCGCTGCTTCGGATCCCACTCCCCACCAGAGCTTTGTTCCCTCCGAGTCTCAACCATGGCAGGCCCGTATTGAAGAGTTCGAAGGTGCTGTAAGGCAGGCAATTTCCCTCGTCGAACTCGGTATGGGTAGCTTTGACAGCTTCAGGCAGTCCCTCTATGATCGCGTGGCCGATTTACGGCGATCAGGTGAAAACCATCTCGCTACCCGTTGCGTGCGTGAACTCCGTCTCTTGGAGCCACGCATGATGGTGCTAGAGGACTTGCTACGGGGGGGCCCGGAGGTCAAAATGGCATCCTGTCTAGCTCACTTCCGGCGTCAGGAAGCCTTGGAACAGGAGACCCGCTCCAAAGAGATAGCGGATTCGGAGTCTGCGGCTAACTTTTGGGTGAGCCAACAACGTTTGCTAGAGGAGCAAGTCATTAACCTCAACCATACCATGGCTCGCCTGAGGGCCGAGTTGGGACAGGCAGAGGCGAAGTGGAAGGGGCTCCAATCCGACGTTATTAAGGTGAACGAGCACGCTGAGGCGGAGACTCGGCGCCTGCTGGCTTTGCGTCAGACAGATGCTGCCGCCATGTCGAACCGCGAAGATCGAATTCAGAAAGCCGCTGAAAATAAGGCTCGGGAAGACCACGGGAGCCAGGTTGAGGCGGTCAAAGAGGAGATCTCCACCTTCAGCGTGTTCGACTGAGACTTCTGCCTCAGGATTGTATTAAGATATTTTGCTTGCTTGTTTTGCATTTGGAACTATGCCATGACTCTTAAAGTCATAACTTTGTTCAAATGTATTGTTTTGAAACACTGGGTGTATGTTTTGCTTCTTTGAACATGTCATTATGACTTTCGCAATTTGCAAAAACATAACTTTGTTCAAATGTACTGTCTTAAAGTATCAATGAGGTTTTGTGTCCGCTCATTGCTTGTGTATTGGCGAGATTTAACTTGTTTTCAGGCGAGATTTTGATCGCGGCGAGTTCTGCTTGGAAGCTAAACTCAACTGTTGGCGAGTTCAAGCAGATGAGTAACCTCTTTTGCTGGCGAGTTTCGCTTGGAAACGCAACCCAACGGCTGGCGAGTTTATGCTGTGTGCGAGACCCGTATGATGGTGGGCTTGTGTTGAAAACCCGACCCGATTCGCCTGGCGAGTTTGAATTGTAGGCGAAAACTCGAGCAGTTAGCGAGTTGATCCAATAGTCGGGGATCCGACTGCGGGCGAAACTTGTGCCACGTGTCGGTCGGCGGGCCCAAGTGCTTGCCAGCCAAGACTCTGCAGGCGCATTAATGCCCATTTATGGTGAAGCGACCGGTCGCTTCGCCTCTCGTGCCGAAGCCAGTTGGTGTACCTTTGGGAGCCTATTTGAAGCTTTCAGCTGGTCTTTCACCGAAGTCAGTTGAAGATCGTGAGTTGATGTCGAAGACTCCATATGCGAGTGCGGTTGGGAGCTTGATGTACGCGATGGTATGTACGAGGCCGGATTTGTCACAGGCAGTGAGCATGGTGTCGAGATACATGCACGATCCAGGAGTGGGTCATTGGGACGCTGTGAAATGGATTTTGAGGTACATTCGAGGTACGCTCAATGTTGGTTTAGTTTATGAGCGGGACACTAAAGGTGGGCAGCTATGCATTGGCTATGTTGATTCGGATTATGCCGGGGATTTGGATAAGCGCCGGTCTACGACGGGGTATGTGTTCACTTTGACCCGTGCGCCGGTGTGTTGGAGATGCACCTTACAGTCAACGGTGGCTTTGTCTACGACGGAGGCAGAGTATATGGCAGTTACGGAGGCTGTGAAGGAAGCTATTTGGCTTCGAGGACTTTTGGAGGAACTTGGTATATCGCAGAGGTCCGTCACTATTCATTGTGATAGCATGAGTGCTATCTATTTGGCGAAGAATCAGGTTTTTCATGCGAGGACGAAGCACATTGACGTTCGTTATCACTTCGTTCGAGATGTTCTTGAAGATGACGATGTGGAGATTGTGAAGATCCACACGAAGGATAATCCGGCGGATATGCTCACTAAGGTGGTTCCGAGCAACAAGTTTGATCATTGCATTGAGGCCTTTGGAGGCCATTTGGGTGAACTACGTTCGGCTTGATTCCTTGGGCAAGAGGATACGTAGGCAGTCTTTATGATGCAGCCGGTATTGGTTTCGATGGGGGTGAGATTGTTTGAACTCTCGTTTGGGTTCTCGACTTGTTTTGAGTTCGTACTGGACACAACAAGTGGGACATTTGGATGCTTTGGTGTGGGTTCAGTTTTGGAAAAACTTCACCGAGGTGGAGAATTGTGAAAAGTGGGCCCATAACCCACGTGTGCATACGAAGGCATGCGGGTGCAATGCTAAGTCGCGGAGAAGGCCATAGTTTCGGGTCAGGATTTTTTTTTTTTTTTGATTTTGCAGCAAATTTAATTATAAATAGGTTTGCCTAGGGTTTCGTGATAGTTAGTGCAAGGAGGCAGGCAATTAGTTGGTTTTTCTTGTTTCGCTGGCGGCGACTTTGTGCAAACAGGAAAAGCTGACAGAGAGCAGAAGGTTGGTGCTATTGTGCGGCTGTGGGAGAGAGCAAAGTGCAGGAGATTTCTTTTGTGATTTTTGGTTTTGAGCAGCCCCCTTATTTAGGGTTTTGTGCATCCCCTTGAGTGAGATAATTGTGTGAGGGATTTGAGAGATTGTGTGAGGGTTTAGATTGAGTGATTGTAAACCCTAGTTGTATTCTCTCCCTCTAATAGTAGATCTCCCCCCTCCTTGCCCCGTGGACGTAGGCAATTTGCCGAACCACGTAAAAATTGGTTGTACTGCTTTTGTGTGATTTGTAATAGCTTTTAGGATCCCTCGACAGGTCAGTCCTAGAACTGATGAGAGGAAGAGCTGATATCTCACTTGGTTGAGATATCTGCTTCAAATTCTTGTCTCCTTGGTGAGACGGGAATTCTTATTGCGATCTGACTCTCTTGTTGTGCTGCCGAAGTGCTGCCGAAATTTCCGCTGCGCGCAACAAGCGTTTCCCTCGTAATCCGCTTTAAAATTGTGAAAATTTTCCCCAGAAAATGTCTAGCTGGCGTCTTAGTTTTCTCCCACTTTCTTTTTTAATTTTGGTGAATCAAACAGCTGATTGTTGGGAAAAATTGCAAAAAAATTTCAGTGTCACTGCACTATTTTGACACCAAACAGCTCCTTAATAAAAAGCCCTCTTCATTTTGTTCTCTCAACAGTTTCTTCTCTGCTCTTTGTCCTCCACTCTCTCCTCTTGCCTGCTCTGGGACGGTGGACATCCCTCCCCTCCGCGTCATGGGTTTTCTACAGTGAAGTAAAGTCCAATAGCAATGAATCAGCTCTCCTCTTATTATTGCCACATCTCTCTCTCTCTCTCAGAGTTCATTTTCCTTCCTTTCAACTTTACTCTCTCGAAGTAGAGCTCCCCAATCAACCCATTTGCTCATCTTCTCTCTCCCGTTTAACCCATTTGATTTAAGTCTCTAAAGTGAACCGCCTTGGTCCTCAATGCGCCAGAGCGGAACTTATTGTTTTTGGGTTTTCTCCTCTTTTGGGTGATGTATGAGAAATGGGTTCCCATTAAATTAACCTATAGCATCCAACTCCTGAGAGTTTTTGGGTTTTGGGTCTCCTCCTCCGCCAAGTATTCTCCTAAAACTTCCCCAGAACGCCAATTTCTTTCTGGGTTTTTTTTCCCTGTGAATTCAAGCTCAATTTCCTTTTGCTTCAGAATAATTTTCAAAAATGGCAACGATAGGAGAGAAATCTTGTCTAGATATTGAGGCCGGCCCTCATAGCGCTTCTGCCGCCGGAGAGAGCGACGGTAGCCTCTGCTTCTCCGACGCTGATGATGCGTCCTGGCATTCTCCTCACGACTCAAACCGCAATGCTTCTCCTTCTGAGGAATTATTACAGCGGTCGGGAGCATCAAACGATGAAATTGACGGGGTTGGTGAGCCCGGCAGGAGCCCGTGCTGCATCTCAGAGTCCTCTTTTGAGGTCGATTTGGAGAAGAACGAGGCTGATTGTAGGATTTGCCACCTTAATTTGGAGAGTAAAGAATTGGGTATTCCCATTGTGTTGGGTTGCTCTTGCAGGAATGATTTGGCTGCTGCCCACAAGCAATGTGCTGAGACTTGGTTCAAGGTCAAAGGAAACAAGTAAGGAAGGGGAGCAAAAAAAAAAGCGCTTCCCCTTTGCATTTCTTCTTCTCAATGTTATAGTTTGGGTGAAAGTTATTAGCTTGGGGTGAAACTAGATATAGAGCAAACATAATCATCTTGACTGCGATGGCCTTACTAAGTGCGTGGAGGGACGCACCGCTTCCCCTTTTTTTTCAACAAGATATGGCTTTTAAAGTTGTATTGGGTTGATCAATACTTAATTTGCAGTAGCCAAATACTTTGTCTATGTAAGAAAAAAAACATAAGAGATGCGAGCTTCAAACTAAGCTTTGTGTTCTTATTTGAATAACTAGAGGAAAATGGAAACTAAATGTAGAGCATGTCAAGATAAGAAATAACGAATCGACGTGGCAAAGGATGAATCTAGAAAACATAATGGGGGGGAGCTAATTCTAGGGAATCAAACTGATAAAGAAAGTTATAGATTTTCGGTTTGAGACGACATGGCTGAGGAATCCATCCTTTTTGTTTCAAGGAAGTGAAGGGATGAGTATAACTCTCCATGACAAACATGCATATAGAATGAAAAAATGGTTGGTATATTTCCTTGTGAAGGTATTATTGCCAAATCTATCTTCTCCTAACAGAATGCTTAGCTTTGTAATGCACAACACCTGGAGCATTTTGTTCTGATCGACTGAAAACCTGTATGCATATATGATATATCTGCTAGATTTTCGGTTTGAGACGACATGGCTGAGGAATCCATCCTTTTTGTTTCAAGGAAGTGAAGGGATGAGTATAACTCTCCATGACAAACATGCATATAGAATGAAAAAATGGTTGGTATATTTCCTTGTGAAGGTATTATTGCCAAATCTATCTTCTCCTAACAGAATGCTTAGCTTTGTAATGCACAACACCTGGAGCATTTTGTTCTGATCGACTGAAAACCTGTATGCATATATGATATATCTGCCTTAGCTTTGTAATGCACAACACCTGGAGCATTTTGTTCTGATCGACTGAAAACCTGTATGCATATATGATATATCTGC